TTGAAAGGTTCTCTGTGGTAGAAAGAGTCAAGGTGAGGCATAGCATTAGGTGGTCGAAATGGAGTGAAGCAGTGTGTGCTGATAAGATGGCTCTCAGGAAAGAATGCTCTACTTTTTTGTGTTTGCCAGTTTCCACGGTGGAACTATTCCCACCATGGCTGATTTCAAGATACCAGTATGACGTCACTGAATGCGGAGTTGTGAAGAGATGCATACATCTTACAAGCTGGTGCAAGTTGGCTCCAGTTCAACATGGAGTGAAGATCATCAAAAAATGTGAAGGTCAAAAACTGAGAGACAGTTTATCCAGGTGAACTTGAAGTCATCTAAGATGATGATGGGACTTGAGGGGTGGAGTGGTAACTATAAGTGCCAGTCTTCGACCAACAAGAATTGAGAACAAAATGATCAGAGCACAGTGACAAGGAGCATAGACGAGAGGCAGACATGGAGTCAGAGAGCCTTACAGTGGAGTCCGGACGACCCTCTCTAACATGCATCAGTTTAGTCTGAATTGAATGTTTTAGGCAGTTTACATATATTATTTCACTTAATCCCCAAACAACCGAAGAAATAGGTGTCATTATCTTCATTTAACAGATGAGGAACCTGAAGCGAAGGGAGGCGAAGTAATCTGACCGAGGTAACACAGCCGAAAGGGATTTGAGCTACAGCAATCTAGGAGTCAAAATAGTGAACAATTGTCTAGAAGCTGCTTGGGGGAAGTGAGGAAAGGGTTGGAGTCTGGGAGAATGTGAAGCCTTTACTCAAAAGGGCTACGGGGGAAAGTGTCTTCTGTGAAAAGCCAAGTTTTCCTAGAGCAGGTAGGTTGAGGAGGGTAGGGCTTACCACACAAAGAGCTCAGGGGGCACAGTGGAAAGGTGGGTGGGGTGTTGGGGAGGACGACAGCTCCATGCGGAGAGGGAGGGGAGCACTTCTCCGTAGTAAAAAATGTGAGTCTAGGGCCTGTGATTGCTCTCAGTTCGCTTCTCTTTGGCTGAGGTTATTTCTGTCAGCAACAGGCATATGAAGGGCCTGGCTCTTTCCAACACTGGTCATGAGAATGTGCATTTAACATTGATAAGTGCTTTTCCAAAGATGAAGAGCAACTTTGTCAATGAAGATGCAGAAATCTGATTATTGAAAGCTGTTATTAATAAATATTTATTAAATTGGCAGAAAGATGAACTTCGCTGAAGAAAAATAAGCAAATTGTTAAGAAAAGCAAGCACAACTGCATTATTACTGCTATTGCTGTTAAATACTACCTTTGCTCTGTAATACTTATGATCTCTACCCCTGACTCAGTACTTGCACGTTTTTACCTTGTACTAGTTAACTGTGACTTAATTAAAATCTAGAGCTGCACTGTCCAATGTGGCAGCCACTGGCCACATGTGGCTGTTGAGCCCTTGAAAAGTGGCTAGTCTGAATTGAAGTACTGTAAGTGTAAAATATGCACTGGATTTCAAAGATTTGGCCCCCAAAATTTATATATCTCATAAATAATGTTTTGTAATTGCTTGCACATTGCAGTGATAATATTTTGGATAGATTTTATTAAATAAAATGCATTGTTAAAATTAATTTCCCCTATTTCTTTTTACTTTAATATGGCTATTAGAAAATTTAACATTATGTATGTGGCTTGCATATAAGGCTCACATTATATTTCATTGTGCAGCACGGGTGTAAAGCCTTCCATCATTGACCGCTGAGGCCTCTTTGGGGCTCTGCGTGTTGTTTTGGGAAGTATTTTGTTTGGTTTTTTGATTAGCTACCTCTGAGAAGAGGGCAAGTTGAAAAGATGCTATTTCCAATTTTAGATTTTTCTATCATTGGCATATAAGATTTGTGTGCTCTGTGTTCTCTAGTTGCAAATGCGAAAAAACCTGCTTGCCATCTCCGGAAGGCAGAATCATGCCATCTGATTAAATTCATTTAGGCCTCCTTTGAAGTACCTTAGAGGTTTGGGCCCTGATTCTCTCATGTCAGTACTTCTTTTCATTATATCCGTCTTCTCAATTTGTTTCCAGACAACCTTTTTCTACCAGACTCTACCCTGTTTGTTTTCTTTAAAAATTATATAAATTAAATGTTGAATTGGTCGTTGTTGTGTTATATATGTATATTTACAACAGTAAAAAAAAATCTGTTCTGAAATAATAATTAAAAATATATAATTTGCTTTACTTTCTTTTTGTGTGCTGTTATCTCTGGCATCAGAGAATCTGGGTTTAAGCTCTGACTGCTGCATTTACTAGCTGGAGGACCATGAGTAAGTTATTTCAACTTCTTGAGCCTCAATTTCTTCATTTTTAAAATGAGGATAAGAACAGAGCTCATCTCATAGTTTGGTAGCAAATATTAAATGAATTAATACCTACGAGGTATTGAGAACAAGGTCTGGCATATGACAAGGGTTCAATAAGTGTCATCTATTTTAAATGTCTTCTCCTTTCTTATTACTTCAGCTTTTATCTGCTCAGCTCTTGCCATCCTTGCATCTAAATTTTGTCACCCAAATATCTTCACCTTTGAGGAACTGTAATAAAAGCAGCACCCATCTCATCCTTGCTACTGTGAATGGATATTAAATTTAGTTTTATCTTCTGAGATACGAGCTAAATATGGAGTGTTCTACTCTAGGCACAGTGCTAACCATCCTGGGGAGATGGAGCCTCACACCAGAATTTGGAAGCTTGGTCTTAGATGACGAAAGGGTGCCCCTGCTGCTCATTGAGCTGCGGTCTTTCAGGTGTCAGCTGGGAACATATGGATGTGCTTGTGGATGCTCCTGGGGAGTGGGCATAGAATACAGCCTCTGCCATGGGAAGGGGCCTGCAGAAGCTCCAGAGCCACCCTGGGAGGCAGGCCATATGAATAGGAATCAACTGTGTTTTGTAAACCAGATTATCTATTTGCATGCTATACTCTCTTGGTTTTTCATTATCCTCTAGACTTTAAAAAATAAGAGGGGGTTAGAAAAAAGGGAAGTGCTATAAGATATTAGGAGGATTAGTGGTGCCAGTGGTTAAGCGTTCCACTACTAACCAAAAGGTCGGCCGTTTGAATCCACCAGCCGCTCTTCGGAAACTCTATGGGGCAGTTCTACTCTGTCCTATAGGGTCACTGTGAGTCAGCATCGACTTAATGGCAACAGGGTTTTTTGTTGTTGGGTTTTTTTAATAGGATATTAAGAGACATGCTTTAAGAAAGCAAATTAAATTGCAGACTGGAAGCTCTGGGTGTCTGTGTTTGGGGTAGGGAGTGCTAGTCAACTGATGGGCTTGATTGCACAGTGATCAGGCCTGGACCCTGAAAGTCATACAGGATTTCTTTTGGACATATTTCTCCAGGGAGGAATCCCCAAATGCCCTTCCTGGGATGGAGGGAGTATATGCTGGCTGCTGTAGCAGAAGACTTGAGTTCTCACATTTCAGTAAATGGACATTACTGAATCCCTCTGTTTGGAGGAAGACACCTCAGACCTTCTCTTCCCCCATCACCCTCCCCTACCACCAAGCTAGCGCTGGAGTCCTCAGATCTGGAGCCCTGTAGTTTAGCACTTCTCCAGAGCAATCTTCCAGTGCTTCCCATCCCTAAGAGAAGGACAAAAATTGGGGACTCCTCTCTACCAGGAATTCTCTCTCCACTGCCACAGACACAGAGAACTGGTGAATGGTTAGCAAATTCTCACCAGATCCCAGAAATATTCAACTGGCTTAAATTTAAATTCAAACACTTAACTCTGTCAAACACTGTGCTAAATACTTATTATCTCGTCAAATCCTCATAGCAACCCTATGAGGTAAGTTTTAGAAGTTCCATTCTACCGATGAAAAAACTGAGACTTGGGGTTCCCAAGCGAACTGTAAAAACCAAGTCACCCAGCTTTGGCAGAGTTGAGAATCAAGCCAGGGTGTTACGACTTCCAAGCTCTTAATTACTGGGCTGCCCACTTTATTTGCAGAGTAAACGATGGAAATTAGCAATGGCAGCTAACAATGTAGGCACAAGAAGGGCAGCATCTAGTTTTCGACAATGGCGAGATTCTCGTCTGTCTGGGCTGGTTGAGATATCGCCATCTCTGGAGGTACGTGGAGCCTCTCCCTGCAGCCTCCCCACCCCCCCATCACCACCACCATGGGGTCAGCCGGATGCATCCCTGGAGGGGACATAACCTGCACCAGGTTCTTTCTTCCTCACGTGAGAAAAGAAAGAAATCACAACAGTTAAAGCAGTGCTACATATTGCAGCTTCATTTGGATAATTATCTTTTTATTAAGACTCTGTAAGTCACGGCAATAGTCTCTTAGGTTTCGTTTATTTAATATGTATTTGTTTTTGTTTTTTTTTAACAAGAGGAGTAACGTTTATTCTTCTCCTTCGCAGACTTTTCCATCTGACTTTTATTTCTTAAATCTTCCTAACACAGTTCAAAAGACGGGTTCAAAAGACGGAAGCCTGGTGCACAACCTTGTCCCTACACTGAGCAGCAAATTCAAGCTCTCCCAGCTGCCCAGGTTCACTTGGCGGGCTGCCGCGTCCTGTCTCGAGGCTGAGGCAGGTGGGCAGTTTCTTTCCCAAATTTCCCCTTAATCCCCAGCCCTTGGAGGCGTTGTGGCGCAGTGGTTAAGAGCTCAGCTGCTATAGCCAAAAGATTGGCAGGGTTCAAGTCCACCACCCTCTCCCTGGAAGTCCTGTGGGGCAGTTCTACTCTGTCCTATGGGGTCGCTGTGAATCGGAGTCGACTCGACGGCAACGGGTGTGGTTTTTGGAGGCGTTCAGCCAACTGCTGCTCTTGAATGAATGAAGTAAAGGGCGGTTTGGGGGTGGATGTCGCTAGAGAGAGAGAGTGAGAGGAAGAGAGAGGCGCCGTGGTTCTCAAGACAGAGTGTGAAGTTATTTCAGCTCAGAAGAGTGGAGAGCGGTTGGCAGGGCGGGTGTAGGCGTCAGGACAGGAGAGGAGACGGCGGAGGGGGGAGGTCGGCGCTTACCCCAGGAAGGTGAGGAACCGCGGGTCCGTGACCAGGTTGGCGTCTATGGTGAAGGACAGGAAGGCAGGGCTCACCAGGTGTACCGGCCGCTTGGTGAAGAAGTCTAGCTCCACGGTGTCCTCGGCTAGCCCCTGTGCCGCCAGGGCGCCCCGGCAGAGGAGACCGAGCTGCCCCAGGAGCAGCAGCAGCAGCAGTCCCGGCCTCCAGCGCAGCAGCATCGCGGGTTCACCTGGCTGCCGCACCCGCGAGCTGCCGTGAGCTGGAACCCAGACCTCGCGCACTTCCTCCCGTCTGGCCGAAGCGCCCTTTCCTCCAGCCTCCACCCTCCCGCACCCCTCCCACTGCTCCTCCACCCCTCCGCTCCTCCCCTACATCCCTCCCACTGCTCCCTCTCCTCCCCACCCCAACCCTCCCCCTGCAGTTACTCTCACTTCCTTGCTCGCTTTCCCCTCGGTGGCGGTCACGTCCACTTATGAAATCATCCACACCCATTTGAAGGTTGCGGAGATGGCCGGGCTCCAAGCGACCAGGGCATTCCGGATTGGCCTTCCCGATACACAATGCGTCTATGCCAGAGTTTCGCTCTTTCAGGTCCCATCCAGGTGACACTGTGTCTCCCTCTTCTGTCCCTCAACTAATGCCTGCAGCTGGTCATTTGTAGCTTCCCCTCCCATCTGGCTTGTAAACACGTTTGTCACCTGAGCCTGCCAAAATCTGATTGACCATGTGTCCACTGGCTGGAGGGCTGTGTCCCAGGCATCTTACTCTTACCTGTACCGGCTAAAGTACAGCTAGAAAGAGATCTGCCACGAAAAATTCCTTATCAAGTTCTCATGAAAACATGTCAGGTACTCCAACATCTGAAATCCAGAGATGAAGCCAGCCCTTATACAGCATAGGATAGTGACTGTCCCTTGAATTTGAAGCCTTTGCCAATTTTCCCCGCTGTACATTCATCTTCTGCTTTTCCTGCTTTCCTTTGATGCATATATTAATATATAACAAGCACCACACAGTTAGTGCATTTGCAAAAGATTAACATGCTGAGCTGCTAATCAAAAGACTGGAGGTTCGAGTCCATCCAGAGGCACCTTGGAAGAAAGGCCTGGTGATCTACTTCTGAAAAATCAGCCACTGAAAACCCTGCAGAGCACAGTTCTACTCTGACACACATGGGGTCACCGTGAGTCCAAAGGCAACTGATTACTGAGAGGTGTTTTACCTGTATTATCTCTTAATTCTTACAACAACCCTGAAAAGTGCTTATTATCCTCGTTTTACATATGAGGACCCATTTTACACGAGACATGAACTTGTCCCAGTGTCAGAATTGAGACATACAAGGCAGACCTCATCTCTGCTTTCATGGAGTTTACAATGCAGCAGAAGACGCCAACACTGAGCAAACAGTCACAACAATAGCAAATGTGCTGAGTTCTACCAAGTTCAGGGTACTATGAGAGTGTGTCCTGGGAGACTTCAGCACTTGCAGGTTCAGGGAAAGCTTCCAAGAGGAAGTTTCATTCCAGCTGAGACAGGCTGCCATCTGCTTAGGGTTGTGTAACTGCATTCACATCTCAATTCTGACACTTGGACAAGTCAATGTCTCATACATAAAATGGGTCCTCATATGGAAAATGAGAATAATTAAGAATTTTCCTAATATGAAAAACCCTTAATGGGAGCAGATCTCTTAGGCATGTGTGGCTACCTCCAAGCTCTGTAAACAGCATACATAGTGTGTTGTTTTAAGTGTTAGGTTATGACTTACTAAGGTTAAGTTTTCATTTTAATACTTTGGTGATCAAACTATACTCTAAAACAAGGATAAACTAAATATGTGCTAGAGGCTTGTGGGTAAATAATTTAACTTTACTCACGTAATTTGATCTTTGTCCTTGGTTCCTGAGAGAGAACCTCTAAAACTTTAGACTTTTCCCAGTGACTGAAGAGTCTTTTATCTATAAGGGCTCCCAATCACACCTCAGGGTTTATGCTAAAGCGGTATCTCTTGGGTGGAGGCTACTCAAGCCAGAAAGGCCCACCATGTGATATCAGCCTGGCTTTAGGGGACAGGGACTGAAAGTTGAGTTCAATCAATCATAATGAGGCCCAATAAAGGCTCTGGATACCGAAATTCCAGGGTCTTCCTGGTTGGTGATAGACATTGATGTACATGGAGGATAATGTGTCCCTTTTTGGGACATGGAAACTCTGAGTTGGGAAGCCACCCAGATCTCACCCTATGTTTCTCTTCATTTGTATTATTTTTGCTAGAATAAAATTGTAATCGTGTGTATGCTGCTTTCCTTGAGTTCCGTGAGTCATTCTAGTGAAATATCAAACCTGAGGGAGTAGTGAAAGCCAGCAGGTCAGAAGTGCAGGAGTCCTGGGGGAGCCCTGAGTTTGTGGCTGGCATCCTAAAGGAGCAGTGGGAAAATCCTGAAAGTTGTAGACAGCAGGTCAGAAGTGAGGGTGTTGTGGGAACTCCCAAGCTTATGACTAGAGTCTGAAGTCTTAGGCAAACTTGGCAGTCTGAAGGACTGTGCCTCTTGACTTGTGAAATCTGACATAATTCCAGCTGGTTAGGGTCAGGAAGAAATACTGCATGTGCAGTTGGGAGTGGAATAGATGCATTGATTTGAGATTGATTGCAATTGATCTTCAACTTCTGGTGTCAGAGTAGTGGGAATGGGATTTGATTTCTCAGTAGGGCTGGAAATAAGGAAGCTAACATCTACTGAGTGCATACTGTTTATTAAGGTGCTTTTACATATTCATTTATTCATCTATTCATTCACATATTTATTGGGTAGCTACCATGTGTCAAGCACTGAGCTAGGCAACAATAATTAGCAAGCAGGAATTTTCCCTGTACTCGGGAGCTTCCAGTCCTAGTGGGGAGGAAGACTGTATTAAAAAAAATCACACAAAAGTAAAATTGTATTGTGGTAGGTGCTCCAAAGAAGATGTTCAGAGCAGGGGATAGTTCCTTAGGAGGTGACACTTGAGTTGAGATCTGAAAGATGAGTAGAAAGTAACTAAGCTGTTCGTTGCTTAGTGCCTGGGGTCTTAAAAGCTTGCAAGTAGCCATCCAAGGTACAGCAATAGATCTACACTCACCTGGAGCAGCAGAGGAAGAAGGAGAGACAGGAATCAGACGAGGAAATGGAATGCACATGTGGCTGCCTCCAAGAACAACTGCCTCCTGTGCCATGAGACCAGAAGAACTGGATGGTGCCCAACTACTCTTACTGAATGTTTTGATCTAAGAGTCTACAGAAGAATCCTGATCATAAAAGGGGGTTGGGAGTTCTGGCAAAATGGCGCTCTAGGCAGAAGCACCACGCCATCCCTCCACAGCAAAGATCCAAAAAACTAAGCCGAATAGAGAA